TGTGTGTGTGTGTGTGTGTGTGTGTGTGGTGTGTGTGTGTTTAGGTTGTGTGTGTGTGTGTGTTTAGGTTGTGTGTGTGTGTGTTATGTGTCTGTGTCTGTGTGTCTGCGTCTGTGTGTGTGAGAGTACATGTATGTGTGCGTGAGAGAGAGAGAGAGTTTGTGGTCATGTTTGTGTGTTTTATATATGAAGATATTATCTAATCATATGAGAGTGCACGGATGTGGAGATTCGTGGTCTAGACTCATCTGTCTTCAACATGTGTTGCACAGGGAGATGCATTCATATCTGCCGGTATTCATATCTATTCTTAATAGACATATTATTCGTATACTCACCCTACATGTACAAATATACACTCAAAACATATTCTTAGTGTGTTGTTGTTCTGTGTAAACGTGACAGTGTATATATAAATACATATTCAAGGTAACTTACAAATCCACTATGCATATGTACACTTTTGTGTTTGCGTATGAGTTAATTTGTGCGTAAAAGTGAATAGCTATATTCATTAATTATCCCCGTGTAAACAAACTTGACAAACAAGCGTGCATCTATATATCTATGATTATTCCTGTGCATACTTTTAAATAGCTACGCGCACATACTTATATGTGCCCCAGCACGTCAACATACATATCTATGCTTAGAATTCCCAGGTTTCAGAATTGTACTGCACGCCGGGTCAATACCTTCAAGAAATACCGACGAGGGGTATACTATGGACCAGCAAACGGCATCCAGAGTGGATACTGAGTTGCACGCGAACAAGCGTGCAGTAGTCAGATCCACGTCACGGTGACTATTGAACACAGTGACAATTCCCAGAAAGGGTAAGAATAGCGACAGTATGAACGCCTTTACTCGCGGATACGGGAGAAAAGCCGTCACAATGAACAAGACTAGCCCTAGGAGTGTAAGCACGAGTATGCGAAGGAGTACGAATAGCACTCCAAGAGGAATGTACAAGTATCTAGCATAAGTCTGCGCTGCACTTGTCGATGGTTGAAACCGGCTCATCATTCGAATTTTGAATATAACAAGTGTTAGAACAAGTAGAAGGAGAATATTCAACATTTGTATTGAAATAAAGATGACAGGGGAGTCCAGGTTATTATAGTGTATACAGCAGTGTTTGCTTTATCTATCTATCTTTGGGCAGGGCCTTCTGATATTTTTTTGTTTATATTTTGCAGGGAGAGAGTCAGAGTCTCAGTCTCTCAGAGACTGTCTTTTTAGTTTTACTTTTTTTTGGGTAAACAGATGTTGTATGTGATTGCAGGGCCGCAGCGACGCAGCGGCGCAGCGGCGCAGCCCACAGCAGGAAGGATGACACACAGTCACACACACGGATAAAAAGAGTTTCCCCAATCCCCGCCAGAACTCTCTAGTACTCTAGATTTGAGATTCCGAAGGTAAAAAGACCTAATGCATTTCTATTTTCTACTGTTGGGTTTTGTTCGATTGTTAATTTATTAGGGGAGGCCATAGCCTCCTTCTAAAAAAACAGGGAGGCTATGTGAATTGGGAGTTTCGTGAATCGTGATTCGTCTGTAGAGGATAGACTCATCAATATAGTCTTTAGTCTACACACTGACTCTACAACTCAGTTCATAGTTCATAGTTCATAGTTCATAGTTCATAGTTCATATAAATGTACTCTAAAAATGTATTTACACTGTTAGTCCTGCTGGAAGACTGGAATATGGAAATGAGTTAAATGACTCTGGAAAAACTCTGCAAGTCTAGAACTTTTGGAAGAAGCTTATTTTAGTTTTGATATTTTAACTAAATAATAAGTAATCTAATAAGGCCCCTCAGTCCCTCATCGCCCCTGTCAGCCTGTCAGGCCTGCTGTCTCCTGTCGCCGCTATCCGCCCGGGTTTAGTGATCTGCACCGGAGCGGCTGAGTATAGATTTGACAGTGGCGAGAAAGGCTCAATACATGACATGACAGCGACACAGGTAGAGTGAGAATGCGTAACAAGAGATACACAATCAAAGCATTAGACCAAGTTGCAAGCAGCGGCCAAAAAAGGAGTCGTGCCATAGCAATACAGTAGCCGGGCCCCGGTGTAGTCCTTCTTATAATTATTGGGGTTCAATGAATCGTGCCTGGATGCCAAAGTAACCCGTGGATCAACCATGACACCTCTCTCGCCATAGTCTCTGCACTCTGTCTGGACTTTGGTCCCTAAACGGATTGATGACAGGGCCAGAGGTCCAGTCGTCCCCAGGACAAATGTCAAACCCAATAAAAAATTAAAAGTTAAAAATAGCTGATATGTGTCGAACAGAAAAGAATCAGAAAATCAGAAACCCTGGCCTGGAGTCCTTGGACTTCAGAATTTATAGCACCGACGCAGATATTTATGTAGTCTGGCAGTCAGCTCACTCAGCTGTCAAAATTAAAATCTGTGTGATTTTTATCCTGCGTCCTGCGATGTTGGTCGACAAATCAGGCTCGTTTGTATCCAATAAGAACCTGGTCGCATGTGCTTTTATAACTTGTGCCTTCTATACGGTACAACTGCGACTCCAAGTACTCTCAAGTCTCAACAGCTTTGTCTCTGTGGATAGAAAAAGAAAGTTAACTGTGTATTAGTGTGTAAATATGTACTACTTCTTGTGTGTAGTCAGTAGTTTGTAGATTGTTGTTGTTGCTACTTTCTAGCCAGAGAACACCATGACACTAGCGACCGAATCAAAATAAAGTTGTATTTGATAGGATAAAGCCGTCGACCTTACCTCGCTGTCTGTATTGGTAATGGCAGAAGTCAGTTTTACTACTTTGACGTTGCCTATCTTCTCTGCTTGAATGTAGTCTAGTAGTATCTAAGATATAAAATAAATAAATAGTTAATGATGTGTACGTGGCTGACAAATATGTGTTTCAAAAGTGGGACGTGGGGCGAGATGGATTTCGAAGAAGACATGAACCACAATGTCATGATGCAAACAAACGAACCTACAGTAGAAATACAGCCGAAAGCCCGCAAGCTCCTAACTGAGAAAGAGAGTTCTGAAATCACAGTTGAAGAAATAGCAGATTTAATATACAACTGCAAAAGTGGTATAGTATTCTTGACAGGTGCGGGTATCTCTGAGGCATCAGACATACCGACCTTCAGGGACCCTGAACATGGAGTTTGGGCCAAACACGACCCAAGGGAAGTGGGTACACGGATGGCGTTTCAGAATCATCCCGAAAGGTTATGGAGGATTTTATTGGAGATGGTGGGACCAGATAATTCCCCAATACCGAATGCAGGGCATAGTGCGTTGGGAGAGTTAGAGAAGTATGGATATGCATCAACTATAATCACACAGAACGTGGATGATCTACACGAACAAAGCGGAAATAATAATGTAATTCACCTTCACGGAAACCTGTGGAGTACCGAGTGTATAGTGTGTGGCACCCCCGGAGATACTACACACGAGCTGCTCCGAGACACGCCCAAAAAGGACTTGCCGCCCAGGTGTAAGAAGTGCGCACAGAAGGGTGTGCTGAAGCCCGACGCCGTACTATTCGGCGAGATTCTCAACAAGAACATACTGGCCTCAGCAGTGAGTGCGATGGAGAACACACCGTTGTTATTTGTACTGGGCACGAGTGCACGTGTGAGCCCGGCCACAGACCTACCTGTGATTGCCTCGAACGCGGGGGCAAAGGTTGTGGAAATCAATATGGAGGAAACCCAACTAACCCACACGTGCGTGGACTACTACCTGCACGCGCCCTTAGAAACTGTCTTGCCACAGATCGTCGAGTGTGTGCGGAGGATATACCGGGAAAGTAACCCCCGATCATCCATTGTGGCGTCTTTAAGCAAGACATTCTCGAGACCCTCACTGCTTCCCGACCAATCATAAACTTAAAAGGTATATAAAAATCCAGCATGCTTGCACCTACTCAGACTTGTTGATGAGGTTAGAAGTTGTTTCTCGTGCATGTGCATGCAGGTATTCTTGATACCTGCTTCACATTTGTTCTTGTGTCAGATATCTCGTTGATATAGTACCTGCATGTCTGTAGCAGAGTTGTATCGCTTGTTCACATGTATGTGTTGATAAACGGAATAAATTTATTCACATCACTCGCAGCGTTGAATTGGCCTAGCAAGTGGTTTAATACATCCTGACTCTCACACACACATAATAAAAAGTTGCCATATAGAAAGGATGTCTTTAGAATAGTGTCAACGCTCCCTTGTTCGCGTATATATCGGAACTCTATCTAAAAGTGTGCAGGAAAGCATATATATATTTATATGTGCGTGTGTGTGTGTACATATATATACATATATCCGTCCTGAACTTGAATTCAGACTGCGACAGTATCTGATTTATAGCATTGGATACGTTGGAGATCAATCCCCGGCACTTTTTCTTATATATGTACATTCTACTCTTGAATTAATGGATTCCGGAATGTGAAACATCATTCTTGCTTTCAATTATGAAGATATATTGGTTTCTGTATAATTTAAATCATGTATACGTGCATATATT